TTGTAAGGTAAAATACATTTGATCTGTATTCCTACGAACTATCTGGCGTGATAACGTACTCCCGACAGAGTTCTCTTTCTTTCTTTTAGATTGACTTACCTACACGTTGGCGCTGTTGACACATACGGTCAGACGATATTCTTCCGCGTCCTCACAAGAGTTTGTTCAATTTAGGTTTTTTTATTTTGTTTATCTCTTCAGTAGCGAAAATTAAATGAAAATAATAAGGTTTTTGATTAAGAACTTGGTGAGTAATTTTCACAACAAAGGTAGAATAGATTTAAAGAAAAGACGAGGACTATTTTATCTTGCTCATGTTTACTAGAATACATATTGAACTCTTTGCCGTAAAGATACATCGGGAGCTATATGGCTTCGTAAGCCATAAAAATGGGAAAGTAGAAGGTTTTAGGGATACAACACGAAATATACTCCCCGTCAATGAAAACGCAACACTCTATTTTTAGGGTGAAAAATTATATACGGGATATAACTATGTACCAAACAAGTTAGGACATCTTTTACTTTGCCAAATCAGTTATTTAATGGTTGAATGTTTTTCATTCCATTACCGAAAGTTGATTTTTTTAGCCCTCTTAACAGATAACATTTAAATAAAACACCCCCCTTCCGACCATTTAATCAAAACATGCTAGTCCGCCATGTACAACATACAGTGTACGCAGTCTGATTTCTACCATGCATTAGGTTTATCAATGTCTTTATCTGAGCGAAATAAATATTCTTGAGCATTTTTAATTGCCTGTTGTTCAGATACTGAGGTCGAATTTTCTCTAACTTGACGCAGTATAGTAACCCTTATACTTCGGGTCAATGAACTGTCATTCATGCTTTTGCTTTTTTTGGTACATAGTTAAATCCTGTACATAATTTTCACCTAAAATTAGGGTGTTGCATTTTCATTGATGGGGAGTATATATACAAACCTGGGGGTCCTCCCATCATAGGTGGCGCTGACATGTCGGGGGCTTCCATGGGGGGTGGCATGAAATTGGCTCCCGGAGGCATCTGAAAGGAATGGCGATCATTCTCATGACAGTAACACACTGTTTATCCACTTTCCAGAAATGTTAAAAGGTTATAAGTCGTGATTGAAAATGGAACATATTCTAAATGAAACATTTGAATCATCAATATTTGGTTGGGTACTAATTCAAACATTTTTGTAAAAATGTCATCAACTGACATTCAGTTTACTTTGTTAATTAACGTTTAAATTCACTAAGCTTAATAACTTACCCCATACGGTGGTGGTCTGATCATCAGGTTAGGGCGGCCAGGTGGCGCGTTATTCTGCTACAAAAGAAAGAAACTGCAACTGAGGAAATTCTAACAAAAAGGAGACCAGGGAATCTGGCTTTCACGGTGTAAATAAACATATGTCATGTAGAATAATAACACCCGTAATAAAGTAACTTTCAATCAATACATTCTTTAGTGATTATAAAGCTACATATTTGTGGAAATGTATCAAATTTAACAAATATTGCTGTGGTGGAAAATCGCAAGCTCAACTTACTGCCATGTTTTAGACTTATAATAGGGAAATTGAATCGCTAGGAATAATTTATTCCTGGATTTTCTCTCAAAAAATCTCTGAACCCAAAATAAAAAATAACTGCGAATCACAGGCACCTGACGTTACTTAATTTTCTTTTATTTAAAAAAAATATACCCATACCTAATAATTATTTATAGGTATGGGTATATTTTTTTTAATAAAAGAAAAATAAGTTACGTCAGGTACCTTTCTCCCGTCTACCTCGAAGTCATTTTTCATAAGTTAAGATATTCGAATGATTTTTTATATTTAGGGCCTATAAATTGATATATTGATATTTTAAATGGATTTTCATAAAACATTACTTCTTTGGGAAAACAATGAGAGATAACTAAAATCTAAAATTTTTATAAAACTCAAGTTTTTTACTATAAACACCCCCCCCCCCCCCAATGAAACAAAATTCCTTTTTACGGATAATATGGACTATCATTTACCAAATTCATTCCAAAGCTTTTTGTGTTTCACAAAAAGGGGGGGGGGGCCCATATGTTTATATACCATGTATACAAAAAAATGCTAATTTTTTTCAGCAATTTCCAAGTGCTTTACAACTGAAACATTATAGTTTACAAATATATGTGCTTAATTTATATGCATAAAGCATAAAAAAAGATTAAAAAGAAACATTTATTCATATCTTATTAGCCCCTGTGGGGATCCGCGTAAGAATTAAGGTCCTCAGTACATGTACCCCCTTGTTTGTCATAAAAGGCGACTAGATGGGCTGTCCTTCGGTTGAGACCATATAAATCGAGGCCCCGTGTCACAGCAGGTGTGGCATGATAAAGATCCCTCCCTGCTCAAAGGCCATAAGTGCCGAGCATAGGCCTAAATTTGCAGCCCTTCACCGGCAATGGTGACGTCTCCATATCAGTGAAATATTCTGGAGAGGGACGTTAAACAGTATACAATCAATCAATCAATCAATCAATCATATCTTATTATTATACTATTTCAGAATATGGTGATTCGATGCTTTACAGCCCGATTTCAATAGAAAATATTGTATACCCCCCCCTCTAATTTCACGAGCTGGAGTACTATTCAGCACTTGAATTAAAATAATTACCGCTAATCAATTACAATTGAACTGTTTAACAAACATTATTTTTCTGGCCAAATTTTCATTAATATTTTTCTTTTAAGTCAAGTGGTTTAAAAATTCATCGATATTTACGTGTTAGGATGTATATTCACAAATTCAGTAAGAGAACAGCACTGTTTCTCATAGATCAAATTTGCCTTACACTCAAGCACTATAGAATATACCTTAAACGTTGTTATTGCTTGTCAAGAATCCCCCCCCCCTCCCCTAAGAAAAAAAGAGGGAAAAATAAAAATGAATCGCTTCCTATATGTACCTGAAATAATTAATCTACATAGATATTCTTTCCTCATTGAGACAAAGTTGGTTTTATTCTCTGCTTAGTAAGTTTTTTTATTAGTGATTTTAAGTTTTTTTGATATTATGATTGGGTTGCTAGGTAATTAAGGGTAATCATTTTTATTTTACACGAGAGAAACTCGTTTATTGCATTATTTGTATGTTTTACAGTTTTGTATCATTATACGTTCGCCGTATTTGCGTATTTTGGCAAGCCATACAAGTTTAATTTTGGGTATCGATCTCAGTTTAGTAACTTGGGGATCCATTATTAAATGAGAACAGTTACATGCATGTAATTTTGGGTGGCAGCGGTGGAATCCTCGAGATGAGCCTGATTCTTGACTAGCGTCAGGGCGTCCTGATAGAATTAGAATTAGAATTCAACTCCTAAGTTGACTCATGCAGTGAGTAATCCAGTAGCTGAGCTGACTCTGGATTAGCTTTAGGGCGTCCTTCCGAGGATGCAGATTTCTCGGGAAGTGAAACTACTGATCAAAAGGAGTACAGTGGGACCAGGCCTAAAGTAAGATTCTGAACAGCAGAAGCGGAGCTGAGAAAATAAGGAAACGCAAAAGGAAGGGGTAGAACAAATAGATGGGAGGAGTTTCCAAAGCTGGAATAAAATGGGAGCCGCCCACATACGCTCTGAGAAGAGAAGACGGAATAACAATGAGGTGAAATCGATCGCGTGAGAAGAACAGAGCAAGTGATAAGTAGGACCGAAATCTACCGTGGCTGGTATAACACATGATATGAGATTTTTTTATCTATTTGTAGCCACAAAATAAAAATTTGTGGGAACGAAATAAAATTAGTGGCCACGAAATAAAAATTCGTGGACACAAAATAAAATTCTACATTGTTAAAATCATGACCCCCGGGGTTGGGTGGGGCTACAATGAGCAATCAAAGATTTACATAGAAATAAATAGGAAAAATCTTTAAAAATCTTCTTCTCAAGAACCACAGGGCCAAAAAAGCTGAAACTTTTTTGGAAGCATCCTGAGGTAGTGTCGATTCTAAATTGTTTAAATCTTGAACCCCGGGGGTCTTCAGAGCCTAATAGGGAATCCAAGTTTTACATATTAGATATAAGAGGGTTGTCCCGTAAAATCGTGGACAAGTTGTCTAGTGTAAAAAATAAACATCACTGCGTTCTGAAATTTTCACTATTATTTAGTACATCACTGCGTTCTGAAATTTTCACTATTATTTAGTACATATTTAAGTAATATACACAGCAAATTTCAGATAAATATATGCATAAATAAAAAATTATGAGATTTTATTCCATGTATTGTATCACCTTAAGGTGCATGGATTATAACGTCAAAGTGTCTAAAACAGCGTCACATTTTATCTTTGCTGAAAATGAATTTGGATGATGTCCGACTTAAATTTAGGAATTTCATTTTTACACATTCTTTAGTCTCCATAAACAGCCGAAGAATCAATTGGCACCCTAATGCGATCTTCTGAAGATTTATTAGTAAGTTACGGACAATATTCTCACCATCATTCAACTAATAGAAAATCTCATATCGGCGGTCTACTGTGACAGCGTCTTTTGCTATTACATTAGGAGTTTGTCCGTATGTTTTGTACTGACCCAGGGACTCCATCAATAAAACTGAACTGTTTTCCTGTGCGTCGTAACGTTAAAATACGTTGTCATTTTTTGTGTGTTGTGTTTACAACTTAATTTCCCATTTCGAATGCTCGAGAAACTGCCAAAAATTAAGCAAATGCCTTAAAATTTTTACAAAGACTACAAAATTGATTGTGGAATTGAATTAGGATAATTCTAATCCAAATCTTATTATCTTATCTTATCAGCGTTATGGTCAAAGACAAATATATTATAAAACCATAAAGATCTTCTTCTTCTTTCACTGTCTGGCCTCCTTCATCAAGTTGAAGATTATGCCAGTTTGGGTGTGCACATCGATTAAAAGAAATTTTTTGTTTGTTTTTTGTTTTTTTTAATAAAAACTGGATAAAAGAAAGTTCGGGTTTAGGGTGTCTTAACCACTTGAGATTTAAATATCTCAAGTGATTTTGCTGCCGCAGTGTCCTCTGGCAAGCTGTTCCATTCCTTGATAGTTCTGCAGAAGTATGACCACTTCCTGCAGTCCTTGGTTGCTGATGGTATTGCAAACGAGTGTTGTTTTGTATGCCGTGATCTTCTTACAGGCTTAGTGAAGTGGTCCTCTGGTCTAATGGCTACTTTGTTATTTACTATCTTATACATCATTATCAATCTTGCTGTTTTCCTTCTACTTTTTAAGTTTTTCCATTCTAGATGTTTGATCATTTCTGCTACGCTGGATCTATTTCTATAATTACCCATTATGTATCGTGCTGCTCTTCTTTGCACCTTTTCTAACATATCTATCTGGCCCTGTTGGTATGGGTCCCACACTGTTGAAGCATATTCTAGCTGCGGTCTAACCAAAGATGTATAGGCTCTTTCCTTTATCAACCTGGAGGATATATGAAGATTTCATAGTAGGAATCCTAAAGTTCTATTTGCCTTCTTACAGGTATTTTGTGGACTCTTCATGGGCAAGTACATGATTATGAAGGGTATAGTTGAAGATAATAGGGTTTTTCTTTTTTGAAACTGTGAGTACTGTACATTTATCTGGGTGAAATTTCATTTTCCATTTTGTTTCCCAAAGAGAAATTTTATTTAGGTCTTCTTGAAGGATATGACAATCTGAATTTGTTGAGATAGTTAAGTATACTATGGTATCGGCAGCGAAGAGCCGTACTGTAGAGGTTAGGTGGTCCGGTAGGTCATTGATGTAGAATAGGAAAAGGCTGGGTCCTAGTACTGATCCCTGGGGCACTCCAGACTTAACCCTTCCGACGTCGGACTCTTCCCCTTCAACCACTACTACCTGGCTCCTATTTGAAAGGAAAGCTTTGATCCAACGATGTGTGTTTTCTGTGATACCATAATGATGTAGTTTATGGAGAAGTAGACTGTTGGAAACTTTATCGAAAGCTTTAGAAAAATCTAGGATCAGAAGATCTGTTTGCTTTCCATTTTCCAAATTCCTAGATAGATCGTCCACACATTCCAACAGTTGGGTTTCACATGATCTTCTACTTCTGAATCCATGCTGGAGTGGATATAGGATGTTATTTTTCTCTGCATGATTCATAATATGACTTGTTACAATATGTTCCATGATCTTACAGCACACACATGTAAGGGATATTGGTCTATAGTTCTCTGGTGTGTATTTCTTTCCCTTTTTAAATGCTGGTGTTATGCGGGCCTTTCTCCAGTCAGATGGTATTTCTCCCTCTATCAAGGATTTTCTAAATATTAGTGTCAGTATTGGTGCCAGCTCATTTGCTAGTTCCTTCAGGATGGTGGGTTTGATGTTATCAGGGCCTCCAGCTTTATGTGCATTTAGATTTTTGAGTAATTTAAAGACAAGCAGTAGCATTTGTTTATTGGTTTATTAATTTATTTATTGTTGACATTGTTTAAATATTGGATGCTAATGTTTATGGGAAAAATAATAGTTACTAATTATTCCTGAGATATATGGGAGATTTATATTTGTCATACGTATTGACATTTACTTTTGTGCGGTACTGTACTACAGTGAATGTAAACAACGTTTGAATATAGTATCCTGCAAGAAGTACAACCCCTTGATAAATCTACAAATTGTTAGAAGTGCAGATACAACTTTTAATCAACTTTTTCTATCAGTAACTTGTATTATATTGAATTACTACACGTAATTTCTCAGCTGACAGCCAGCTATAAATATGTCAACACGTGCTCAGCACATCGTCACCTCGGAGAGATGATTAAGCATTAAATACCAGATACCATGATTTACAGACACAATCAACATAATCTTCACCTTTTAGTTACTCACTTATGATGGTTCGGGCTTCATTAAATACTTTGTATAAGCTGTACCGGTCGTAAACTCTAGGCAGAATTCTGCAATGTTTTCATTCGTAGACGCCATCTTCCTTCATGAAGTGATTATTAGTATATATAAGGCCGATCCCGACCAAAAATCATCACTTCGGTCAACCCAGCAAAATGAGCCAGCAGTAATTATTGTTTAGGCCAGACCAGCCAGCTCAGAAGGTGAATATTTTGCACCTAGCTTCTCCAATAGCTTAGCATATTTCAACATAGAGTTCATTCAGGATAATTTAATGTTGAAGTAGGAAACCATCATCACCTTCTGTATCATATAGTCAGCATCCCTACACCTTCCCTGGAAGGTGCAACTAAAAAGATTTCAACACCTTCTATCACCTTGCAACACCTTCCACTAGATCTATTTCTTCCATTGTAGTTTTTATATTATCTACACTATTTGTATCTTTATTAGATACCTTAGCAGTGATACAACACCTTCTGCACCTTCTCATTAATTCTTAGGGCAGAGGCGTAGTCACAAACTTAAAAGTGGGGGGGGGGGCTCAACTCCAGAAATTCTTTGACAAGCAAAAAAAAAAAAAGGGAAGTTAAAAGTTCCCCAAACTCCAAAATCCTATTTCGGGGGGGGGGGGGACACTATCCCTTCAATGAACATTTCCTATAGTAAAGAAAATGTTGGGGAAATATAGCTGTGATTTTGTTCTTCATTGAAAAGTGGGGGGCACAGACATACTCTTGCCCCCCCCCCCCGATCTGAAAGTGGGGGGCTAGTGCCCCCGCTGCCCCCCCTGTGACTACGCCTATGTAGGGTGTACCTTCTAGTATAAATAAAGAAAATCAGCACCTTCTATTGAGCCTTCTACTAAGTATAAAACAAGAAACTCCGAGATATTATCAACCCCTTCCAAGAAGCCGGAGCAAGAATAAAGAGTGCGTTTGACTTTTTACTTTTCAACTTAATAAATTTATATATATATACTTTTAATCATCTTTGTCATTCACTCGATTTCTGACAGGTACAGGAGGGCTCACACACTTTGAAACGGCTGAAACCTTTTTTTTTCTTTTCAATCATTTATTCAATAACATACAATATAACATGAGTTAAAACATTGCTGTGACGTCAAGCCTTTGTTCTTGCAGTCTAAAAATTTAAAAACAAGGGTACTAGTGGAACAAACGTTTGGAATTTTGAAGCGCAGATTTTCGTGCCTAAAAGGGGTACTACGGTATTTGGCATTTGAAGAAGAATAATTTAAAAAACTTGTTTAAAAGAAATCGTTGAACTTAATCAGTATTTTGCATTCAATTATTTCATTTTGTCAGTCGGGATAAAGAATAAATCAACAACTGTTAATTGGAGAAATACATGTAATCTGTAATTTATTCTATATCAGGACCGACCCACGTCAAGCTACGAGGTACATCGTTGCTTGTGCAATATTGCACAACATTGGAATAGACAGGGGTGATATCGTTGATTGCAGACAAGATGAAGTTCAACTGCTTGGTGGAAACGACAATGCATTACATGTAGTTGGTGATGGATTTAACATGCGCAATCACATAGTGGATACGTATTTCACTTAAGTAAGATATTTTATTACCTATACAAAACTCGCAAAGGGGTACCTGTGCGAAACGAAATAGAAACGAAACGAAATCTGCCGAAACGAAACGGAATCAAAACGAAACGAAACAAAACTAACAAAATGTTTCCCTAGTGATGTATATATTTACATGAAGGAACTACTGAGAGCTGCAGATATGTGCGAGCTAGCATACTATGCATGTATAATATTTCAGTATATGTAGTATTTTCTAATTTTTATGACTTACTCTCATTTTAGTCCTTATTCGTCTACATGTACATGTATATGGAAAGGGGGGTCCATACCCCAAGTGCTTGTGATTATGATCGTTTGGTTAATTGCTTTCGATAGGTTTCGTTTTGATTTCGATTCGTTAGGCCTTGATTACGTTTCGTTTCGGAAGATTTGGCGTTTTAATTGCTTCAGTTCATTTTTATTTCGTTTCATATTTTACAGGTACCCTTCGCCAGATATAAGATACAAGATTTCATAACACAGTATTAAATGCTGTTATGCCTTAAAAGTAGCTTTTGGCAATAATTAACAGATAAATGTTAACGTTGTATGTATTAGTATTTATTTTTACCAGTATTATAGATTTCATTTAATTTTTTTTCTTAAATACAGTCATGTGCATTTAATTTTTCAAGAAAATTACACTCGTAATTGAAACAATTAACGTTACAATTCATTACCCAGACTTGAATTACTTGTATAAATAATCGAATTTGGATATCGCTCCTCGAACTGACGGACCAAAAACGCCTTAATTTCAATGAACTCCTTTTCTGCCTGTAGTTTCTGCTTTCCAATTATCAATTTCTCAATTTGGAGCTTAATTTTTTTATTATCCAGTTTCACATTCTCCAAATCTTCTTCTTCGTACGCATCCTTGATTCCTTTTCTCTTTGGCTTTTTAGAAGAGATTTGATGGCCAGTGGCTGCAGTCTTGGGGGTAGAAGATTCAGAGATGGCAGAAGATGTACAGGCAGAAGATGTACAGGCGGCAGAAGATGTACAGGCAGAAGATGTACAGGCGGCAGATGTACAGACAGAAGCCGTGCCGTTGTCAATTTCTGTTAAATTTATACACAGAATTTTAAATTTTTGTGAAATAAGAAGAATAAGAGAATTTGAAATAGAAAGCTTCATCTTATTTTTGTTTGTACCATCAGTTGCGTCTGTGTCTATTCCATCCGGCAGTCCGCATATCTGTGGTCGCCCTTCAAAGGCTTGCATTAATGCGTCCTCGGAAGCTGTTAGGGAAGAAGGCGCCGGACCACCGTCTGTCTTTGGCCTTCTCAACAAGTCAATCTTTTCTTTACCTGGGTAAATACATGTCCTCTTAATTTATTTTAAATATATCTTTATAAATTTGCATTTATTGGGCAGGCTTAGATAAGACAATTGTATTGTAAGTCTCCACTTTCTTGTTTGTAATCTAGTTTATTCAATACAATGAAGATTAAAGGCTATCTTTATCTTGGACCATCACAAGCAAATATTATAAGTTTTCTTGTAATTGAGTGTGTCTTTCCTCACGATTTTCCTGTTTCTGAATCTCGTCATAACGTGAAAAAAAAAATTTTTTAACCTACGAAAATTAGCCCAACGATTTTTCGTACCTTTTCATTCATCCAGAAAAAAAATCTAATTTGCTTTATTCAAGCAACTAAATACCATTCCAATTTACTACTTTAACGAAAACAAAAACTTAATAAAAATTGCGTCCATTGTATTACCTTTTATGTATATAACAGTAAACTGTATTTCTCAGCACGTATCATAGGCGGGGTGGGGGGTCCCTTTTTCCAGACATAACGTTATACTATAGAAATTAATTGAGCAACGAAAGTCAGGCTGCCCCCCCCCCAACGCTCTCCCAAATATAATTTTCGAGTTTGGATATTCCTTTTTTCCTCTCTCTCTTTCTCTCTCTTCTCTCTCTGACTACCCCTCCCCAAATTTCAGAAACGATGGCATTTTAAACCGACTTTTGTGTTCAGTACGATATTCTCTATATTTATACAGTAATAATTAATATATGAATGTATAAAGAATACTTTAGAAAATGCCTTAACACATAATTTAAGACCACAGAACATAACCGGAAAAATGGGGGGGGGGGGTTGGCAACTGGTCAGACAATCGTATGAGAAAACTATGGATAACAATTTTTTTAGTCGTAATAGCCAATTAGGACGTATAAAAAAATTTCACCGAATCCGATGTAACGAATACTTGGTGAGTATATTGTATAATTTGATGTGTTATAAATTATTGTTAAATGAATTGTTAATTAATGATATCAATTTCAATGAATTTAATCCTTATAACGAATTTAATCCGTTTCTAAAAATTGTTAAATTCATTATAGCAATTTAAAAAATTCTTTGTATAAACTATTATAAGAATTTATAAATTCATAATGAAATGGATAGAAAATTCGTATATGCAACGAATCAAATGTGAAACTGATGTTTTCATTCTTGTTGGTTAATGTTATGGGATCTAAAACGTTTTTTAAAAAAAGCCGCATCGTATTTTTTTTAACTTTAGAGTTTAGATCTAATATACAACTGCACATCTGTCATCATACACAATGGATGTCAAACCGTCACGTTCCAAACAGTATTGTGTCGAAATGAATAGTTACCCATGTAAAGATTGAAGGGAGATAACTACAAAACTTTATTTACAACAGGTCCGCCTTACAGCGAGTTGGAAAGGAAAAGTTAAGTAAAAACTTAATAAGCTCTAATATTTTATATGGTAAGTGTAGGAAAATAAAATGTTTTGATTGAATATGCAACAACAACAGAACTTACAAGTTAAGGGTTTCTGCGATGGATTTCCACGTAGATTCTTTCATTTTGCCATGTTTACCCTTAAATTCACCCCCGAACCCTTCATTTTACCGAAGAGGGTCTCTTCATACTTCAAAACCTCTTCTATCAGGAGGATCTCCTCCTCTGAAGTCCAATTGGTGCCCCTTTTCTTAGGATTATTTTGTTCTGTCGGGAGTTTTACTTCGACAAGCTCCATGTTTGTGAATAAAACAAACAAACAAAGCAGACGGCAATACCTGTTTATTACGTAACAAACATTTCATCAAATTTTGTGTACTTCGTATATTTCGTGAGACCGCTTACATCATTGAAAAAAATTGACTGAGTATGTACTCAGTAGAGTTGAGAACCTAAAAATTCATAATCAACAGAGTACATACTCAACCATGTTGGTGGTGGTGATTTGAGAATGTCCTCTGTTGAGGATGGCCTCAACGCTTGAGTAGTGAATTGAGGCTGAGTACCGTATAATTTTGGTGGCGGCGGGGCCTGTAGCCGTCCGATAATAATAATTACCAGTCTGATAATATAATGATCGGACGGCAATGATAACAAAATCGGACGGTATTTAAAACAAAAAAAGAAGAGTGAAATTAATATTAAAGGTTAGTATGTCCGG